ACGCGGAAACACCATGCTCCTGGTTTTTATCGATATATTCTCTAAGTGGGTAGAGCTCATCCCATTGAGGAAGGCCACTGCCGCCCAACTGGAGTTCGGATTCCGAGAAAGGATCCTCTCTCGCTTTGGAGCCCCCAGGAGGTTGATTTGCGAGACGGCGACGGCACGCAATTCACCAGTCGAAGCTTCCGGGCGTTCTCCCGGAACAACGGTATTCAACTGGAATACACCGCTCCGTACTCCCCACAGCAAAATCCGACGGAGCGCGCCAACCGTACTATTAAGACAATGATAGCACAATATGTGAATCAGGATCATCGGACATGGGACCAACTACTGCCCGAGATATCCCTCGCCATAAACACCAGCATCTCAGATAGCACGGGGTTTAGTCCGGCTTATCTAGTACAAGGTCGGAGCCTAGGTTGCCAGGTGCCCTCTTCAATGCGGTCGCACCCGACTTACATGCTTCGCCATCGTGGCCCTCCGCCCACTTCTTTAACCACCCCGAAGTAAAGGGAGGGTGTGAGGACGCTCAAGGCGCCTCACATTTTCCCACTCAAACAAACCCAGTATCTGAGCCACTGAGGCCAGTATTATGTTAAAATTCTCATTATATGTTAAGTTTCTAAATATAGATTTAAGATTAAAATCTAAGTTATCCTAGTTTCAAACATAAGCGCGCGAGGTTGCTAGTGTTAATCAGGAAGGAACCAGCAGACGGCGACATCAAATCAAGCTCAGGGGTAAGATAAGCAACAGAGATCAGAGACAGGCAGTACTGAGTGCGAAGGTTAGGGAGAATACAAGAATAAATAAAAGGAAGATAACTTGTGAAATTAAAAACCGTGCCGGTAATAGAATTTAGTGAACTTCGCGGAGTGTTCTTTCGGGTTGGCCAGGTTGCCGCATTGCGTTTCCGAGGTCTGTTTTCTCTACGCAACGCGGACACCAAAGCTACCCACGTGCTACTTCAGGTCGGGCAAGTTTTCGTGTTGCGTCTCCGAGGTCTGTTTTCTCTACACAATACGAACGCTTACCAGACCGGGGAAAAGCGCGGGAAACTACCGCCGGTCTTTTCTACTCACGTCCAGGTTAGGGTGAGGCTAGTAAATTTTAGTGAATTTCACCGAGTGGCTTTTTCGGGCCAGTGAGGCTTCTGAGTTGGGTCTCCGAGGTTTGTTTTCTCTACGCAACGGGGAAGTCAAAGCTACTCGCGTGCCCATCCACGTCGGACACGCTCCCATATTTTCGTTTTCCGAGGTTTACTCTGCGCAATCCGAACTCCGCCGATTTTCCAGCGCCCTCCCCTTCGCTCAACGCAGGGCCCAGTCGAAATCCCCGCCAGCTTAATCTACGCCGGTCCCGTTTTCGTGTGGCGTTTCCGAGGTCTGTTTTCTCTACGCAACACGGACGACGAGGCCGGCCACGTGATCCCGATAACAAAATCCCGGCGGCAACTCCCAGTCCCGTTTCGTTTCCTGTGTTTCTACAAATTTAACTGTAGAGGACTCTGGCCGGAATGAAGCCTAGCCCAGCCTATGAAAAAGTCCTTACAGGTTTTGATTGCACCTTTCACTGCTGGTCGGACTCGTCTATTGTGTTGCCTTGGATTCGGCAACCTCCAAGGGAGTTCAACGTATTTGGGTCTAATAGAATCGCGAAAATCCAGGAAATGACGAAAAGTATGGCTTGGCATCATGTTCCAACAGACTTAAATCCGGTGGATGTGGTATCGCGCGGATGTACCCCCAAAGAATTGCTGGAGCACTCCCTTTGGGCAAATGGACGTCCATTTCTACTGAAAGCAGTGTCGAACTGGCCCTCCCTATTAGATGCAGTAAAGAACCTTCCGGAACGGCGTTCCACGGCGCTAATTGGAACCGTTGGCACTGACATATCTACCAACTGCAAGTTTCTCAACACATTCGACAAGTCGCAGCGTGTTTTCGCGTACATTTATCGATTCATTTCAAATTGCAGAGCCAAATCATTACCTTCAACCATTTATCTTACCGAAGATCAGCTTCGGAACCGTTCTGCTTCTAAGCAGCATTTAACAGGTTCACATAGCGGTGGAGTATGAGGTTCTTAGCCAAGGCAAGCCTTGAGCAAGTTGATTTCTCTGAGGCCAATACTTAGCTCTGAAGGTTTACTTCGTGTTGGTGGAAGGCTTCAAAATGCGAGCTTGTTTATTGTTCTTCGTCTTTCTTATCTCGCTACATTTGTCGAGTTATCTATTCAGCTGAGCTACAGCGAAAATATGTACAAAATTTGAAGTCAAGCTTTCTGCAAGTCAGTTATACAAAATCACTGCAACTCCGAGCACAGCTAATAAAATCAAGAATAATTTCAATTGAACCTATCGTGCGTTTAATTTATATTTCTAAACTAAAGCGTGGCATTTTGGTTGTTTTCCCCATAAACAGTATTATTGATATGTTTTGGATCTTAAACATATTTAAGCCTTATATACGACTTGGAATTGTTTACATTATATACATGTATTGGAAAGGTAATACATATACGAATATTTTTAATATAAATGTTTTCAGTATTATTTCCAACTTCGTAGGCACAAAAGTGGTTAGTAAGTTAGTAAGTTTATTTCTTTACATATAACGTCAGATTTTCTTTATCATTCATAAAACTTAAAATTTTAAATAATTTCAAATGAACTTCTTTCGTCACATGAAAATAGGAAGTTTTGTACTTTGTTCCTTTATACATATATAACTTCCTTATATAGATTATTTTTGTTAAAGTAAATACTACTTTTTTCACTGCTTACAATTTTATCGAAATAGTGAACGTCCCTAAGATGTGTGTTTAGACTTAAAGAAATAGTGAAAATCGGTTCGATCGAACTCTCATGAGAAATTAAAAATGTAGCAAATTTTAATGCAGCTGTTTTCGCTATGGAGCATGACGGATTGATCCTGGATTGTATATTATGGGTATATAAGTTTGATTCTCGCAGCTTGGACTCAAAACGCGTACTCCATAAATACTTGAGTGGACCGCACTTCGTAATTGCCAAGGCATAATAGACCATTAAATGAAAAGAAATTATTTCATTAAAGTTTTAGCTGAAGAAATAACTTACCTCTGCCTTCCTCCATGATAACAGCTTCTCCCGAAACCTTAGGCGGGGTCCCAACGGAGGCACAGCTTCCCTTAAATTTTCTTCCGTTATGATATATTTTAAATCACTATATCTTATTTGAGCATCTAAAAATTTAAAATTAATTTTGAAATTGCTTATAATTATTAAATTTATTTATAATTTAATAAGTTTATTTATTAAAAACGCATTTGCTTACTCATATATGGTACACTGGTAAAAAACGAAATATTGAATCTAAATATGTGAATATTAAATTGACTGAAAATATTTAAATTAAATATTAAATCATAATATTAAAAACAAAGAATATTAAATTGCATGACTTAACATGTTTATATTTAAGTTAGTGTTAAAAATTGCAGATTTAAAGGGGTTGATAATTAAGTTTATATTCAAAAAAAATTTTCACATATTGAAATCAATATTTTCATATTTAAAATAGCTAAAATCGCATTAGTTTAAATATGAATATATTAAGGCATGCTATGTAATATGTATTGTATTTAATATTATGATTTAATATGAAATAAGTCAATATCTGAGTAACATATTAAAATACAATATTTCATTTTTTTGTTAGTGTACATGAATACGTATGTATACATGTATATGTATGTGTAAAATACTATGTGTGCACATAATTAGTGCACGTAAGCGAGCAACCAAGAATAATTTGCAGATCTTTTAAAAAACGCGTACAGAACACATAGGATTGCATGTTAAAATAGTAAGAAAACCAACTTAAAAGTGATCGTACACATAAAACTTAAAAAAAATAAAAAAATAAGAAACACCAAAGTTAACATATTTTTTTAAATTATTTTTATGATTGTTCCTATGGGAGCTATATGCTATAGTCGTCCGATTTTTATGAAATTTAAACCGTAATTCTGAAATATTTAACCATTACTATATCTCGAAGAACTAACAAAAAAAAACTAAAAAACACCAAAGTTATAATTTTTTTAAATTTATTTTTCCGATTGTTCCCATGGGAGCTATATGCTATAGTCGTCCGGTCCGACTTATATACTACCTGCAATAGAAAGACAACTTTTGGGAAAGTTTCATGCAGATAGCTTTAAAACTGAGAGACTAGTTTGCGTCGGACGTGATGCTGATCAAGAATATATATACTTTATAGGGTCGGAGATGTCTCCTTCACTGCGTTGCAAACTTCTGACCGAAATTATAATTCCCTCTGCAAGGGAAGGGAAATGAGAAGCCTAAGCACTCAGAATAATATCGATTGATATTTGGTCATGTTATACAATCTCTAATCTATATATTTTCCCAGGCGTAGTTTTCCAACAAGGATATTATTTAAGCAACAACTTTTAGTTTTTGATTATGGTCGGGCTACAAACAAAATAAAACAAAAATTAAATACCGACTATCGATGTTTTTCCATCTCTACTCATAACGCACACTTTACAAAAAGCACACATAAATTTATGTGTTTTTGTTTGACAACAGTTATTTCGGCCTATTTTGGGAAAGCGTTGCTTTCAAGAATCCGTTATGTTGTAAATAATGCATATCGTATATAGTACGCACAAACTCGTATGTACAAACAAATACGAATTACGCTATAAATTTGTTTTAAGAATTTTGCTCTATTCTAACGACCTTAGAAAGATTTTAGCTTGATTAAAGAAATGTTTTTCTTAAATTTGTTCACTACATTTGAGTACATGCCTTCCTTAATTTAAGAATTTTCTTTACTTGATTTTCTGAAAGCATGATATGCGATAGATTAATATAAGAAATGTATATCAAAATCAAGTACTATCGTACTTAATTTTAGAGCAGCGTTTTTTTCTGAGTGTAGAGCAACCAAGTTTTAACTTAATAATTTTTTAATGATCTTTAGAACATTAAGGCCAACGCACGCGACATAGGTGTTACCAAGGATTCAGAATTAAAAGATGTCCACATTGATGGAACTGAAACTCGTATTGTTTTAAATTTCTGTGAGAAATTCAATTGTACAGTCCAAGTCGATACATGTAAGTACCTAAAATATTTAATATTCAATATTTCTGCTACATTAATTTTTCCGTTCAACTAAGACCTATGTTTAAGTTTATTTATTTATTTATTACTTATTACTAGGGAAAGAAAAATTAGTTAACAACTCCACGTCACCGGACGCAGACGTGTAAATTAAATATATGTCAAATGTAAATTGTTTTCTGATTGTTAAGAATATTAAAATCGTTGTTATTATTTTATAGTGGTCCTGAAGACGGTTGCCGAAGAGCATCCGATATATATTGTCAAATAACCAAAATTAAAAAAATTGTGTTATTTTTTCTACATCCTGACCCTCGAGCCGGCTAACAATTATAATGTTTAGTAGCCATTTTCGATAAAGAACGATAGCCACCTCGGCTTTTTTTAACATGTTCTATTTACGACCGCTCCCGAATGCTGATAAGTGCTGTTTGCATATTTTTAGAGTTCAACTAATCAATATATAACTCGCTAACCCTTCGCTCTTCGCTGGGCAGTTCGTAAATATACAATTAAATAGTATTGCGAATTGAGGATGAGAATCGACGAAGATATTTTTGCCAAGGTAAATGCGGCTTGGATAAACAACGTTTTTAGTTTTACTGTCCGATGCATGAATGAATAAACTATGAGCAGTACCGACTCTCAAACAGGCAACATATAACTCCCATGTGAAAAACACGATTCTTCTAAACTAAGCCGCTTCACAATTTGGGCATATAACATCCACCATTCCAATATTCATGTACATTATAGTCAATAAGAGGGTCGTATTCAAATGCAGCACAGAACATATCTTCTAAAACACTACGTTGTATTCTTGTAGTCCTTGCTGGATTTCCTTCATAAGTTTTTTCAAATCTATTTCGTGAATGTCGCACTGCATTTGTGGTATTCTTTGTTACAACACGCCCCGGTCATTTTGAGTACGTCGACATCTTAAAGAAAATTTGTATGGTATATGTAGAAACACTTTCACTTTATAAAGGAAATTGAAATTTGTTTACATTTCTTTCTTCTTCGATCTGTCACATTTAACAGAAAGAGTGGTGAAGTGCGAACAGGACAATGCTATAAGACATCCTTGAACTAAGACGAATAGTGTAGCAGCTAACTGGCTACTTTCCGTCATCTATGAGCGATTGATAATGCTCTGAGTCTCGTGTTGTGTTCTGATGCATATTTTTTCAATACATGTGTTTTATTATTCTTCAAGTTGTAAAAATTGTCTTGTTAGCGTGATCGACGAAAGCAAAAGTAAGCTGCGCTTCCGCGTTTACATTAAATATGGCTTAAGTTTACAGAATGTTATGCGTGGCGCAGTGTTGGCAAAATGTTAAATGCAACCGTGTGTGGTTGCTACATAATTTCAGTTACGTTAAATTCAAATTCAAACTTATAATTATAACAATAGATCTCCTCCGACAAATAGTCTAAGACATTGTCTAAACCAGTAAGGCCGTGCCAATATATTTTGCGTTTAGTTAGAAAACATTAATTCGCAAAAGCAAAAGACATTTTCTCAATTTGCCTTTCTCCATATCTTTGTCAGCTTCTACTTCTTTTTGTTGATATTGCGAAATACAAAATATACTGAAATATTTTTTTCTCTCTTCAAGAGAGAATTGTTGTTATTAAATTATGGATAGTTTTGGTGGGTGCACTGCAGATTCGTGATGAATGGTAAAGCTATTAGTATTATAAATCATAATTGTGAAACCTAAGGTTTTTAAAGAAGAGAAAATTCTGCTTTGGGGACTTTAGTTCAATAAGAAAACGTTGTAAGTTCAGTTAATTGTACAAAAAACTTGAAAAAGCTAAATGCATATTATGGTATAAATGTGTGCGACCAAATGGTCTATCTAGTTCTGTTGAGGCAGTTTGCTCACATATAGGCAATGGGAGAGGACATACCTTTGACACGGTAGGCTTGTAAGCACCGGATGCAGCCTTGATTGTTCTGACAATTGATCGATCCATCATTACTCAAACGGATCCAAAATTGACGGAGCATTTTTTTTTCCTTGGAGAAATTGTGTAGTAAGCGGCAAGTGGCAACGTCGGGGGGTGCCAATAGCGAGGCCCAAATCAAGAAGTGTGCCGGTTTCAGATTACCTGGTTGTGCGTTCAGTTGGCAAAGCGGTCGAGAATTCCGTCAGTGCCGGTGGCAAGTTGCTCGTAGGCCATATATAATGTATTTCCTCGGAGTCGGGAGGCTTGTATTTCAAATGCTCCGGTATGGTCACCTTTTGTTGCAATAAAGGCTCGGCTTGGTGGACTCGCCTTGTGAAGAGTCTGAAGGTCTGCAATCGTTTGTGAGCTTGGTTTTGAACGATGCTAAAGCAGCGTATGCATTTGCAAAGAATACGTTTAACAACTTTTTTCTCCTTCACAAGCCAAATTTTCGCTTGTGGAAGCCAAGCAGGTCCTGTCCCGCATAACGGATGAACTGCAATCTCGGGGTGTGAGGCCACGCGTTGCGCAGTCAGCAAGGTTGTCGCTTGTAGGAACATGACACCACTGTGTCGGTAAACTGAATTGAAGAATTTTCCCACGCGGTTTGGAACATAGGTTCTCCAGCGTGCTGTATCTCCGTCTGACCAGTAACTTAAAGGTAATGCCTGGTTTCCAGTGCGTAATTGTCTTCATATCCAGTCTCGAGGGATCGTGACTGGCTTAGTGGGTGTGACTTGGCTGCGTGTAGCAACCAAATGGGTGCGGACTGTTCCATCAGTACGCGATTGAGGAGCCATCACAAAATACATTCAGCTGTGGGTCCGAAATTTTGTTGATATTTTCTTCAAACTAACGCTGTACTTTGATATGTATGATGTGTGGTAAGTTATTAACGGACTCATGCCAATGATCCTGAAGCGGATATGGTAGCGAGAATTGTTTCCATCGTCGCGTTAAATTCGTGATTTCCAAACTTTTTTGAGGGTTGGATTTATAAGCCCTAAGGGATCGGGCAACTGTAGAGAGGAGAGATCGATTGGTAAATATACGATAAATTTAAAATTGTATTTTAAAGCCAAAATAATCACGATTGGGGAGCCATTAAAGCCCTAAGGTTTTGAAGGAATTTTGATTTTTTAATTCCAAAATGCTGTTGCTTGATAGATGTTCCGAGGAAATGTCTCTCATAAGCAGATTAGCAGATCATTAGCTGGTATCGAATTTGACGAGTTTCGAAGGCCCGCTCTGCACCTCATCTACATAGATCTCAATTCGAAGAACATATTCTTAGCTTACTGCAAAATAGCTCGTATTGCTATATAAGGAGCAGACGCAGTTCCAAACGAGACTGTATTTAATCAGTATTCACCCAGTTTTTCGTGTTCATCCCGCCCATAGGTTCGTTGAAATGGAGTATTTTCTTGATGCATATCAATACATCTGTCCATCGTTTGAATATCTGCTGCAAATCTATATCTGTAAAAAAATCTAAGTCTAGAACTCCTGCCAGATCCTTCTGAAGTGCAGGTCCGGTACATCCGATATCATTTAAGGATCTTCCATTGGATGTTTGTTGGGACTCAGAGGTTACGTCGTCTATTTCGTTTTGAGTGAACCTTACCTTGTATGATTTAAAATAGGTAGGGTAAATGTTTTGAATTTTTCCCATTACCCCTTCGGATGTAATAATTCCGTTTATCAGCTTAGGGTCAAGTCTACTAGTTAAAATTGCTATAAGTTTTTCTTCTGTGTAAGATTTTTTTTTAATTATGTGTCTGTGGTATATTGGGAATAGCATTTCGAAACTATAGGAATCTGTATCGGCAGTCAGTAGAAATAATTGGTTTTTAAATGCGTTAATTGGAGCTTCTACCGAAAATATGAACGCGTCTGCTACCATATTAGCCACTCCGGGCTTGTACCTGATCTCGTGGTTATACTCGCCAATGAGGTCTCTCCAGCGTTTAAGCTTAGCGTTATGGTTATTTACGCTATTCGAAAAACTCAAGGGTTGGTGATCCGTGTATATTACCACTTTTGAATACCCGTAAAGATAATGTCTTAAACTTTGGAGCGCCCAAACGATCGCGAGCATCTCTCTTTCGTTGGTTGCGTAGTTTTCTTCAGTTTTTGACAGGGTGCGCGAATTTAACGTTATTGGCCTATGATTTTGTTCCAATACTGCTCCTATTGCGTAACTTGAAGCGTCAGTAGTCAATTGAAATTCTTTTCCGAAATCTGGATAGGCAAGGATAAACCTTCTGGAGACGAGAGTATTTTTAAGTTTCTCGAATGCTGTAATAGCGTCTTTGCTCAAGTTAGATATACGGCCTTCTTCGCCTCTTAGAAGAATGGTTAGGGGTTTTGCTATTTTGGCGTAATCTTTAATGAACCGTCTATAATAGCCTGTCATACATAAAAAGGAACGGAGATCTTTTAATGTTTTTGGAACTGGAAATTTTTTAATCGCTTTTATTTTAGTTTTTAGTTTTTTAGTTTTTACTCCATTTTCTGATATTGTGTACCCCAAGAAGTCTACTTCGTTTTTGAACAAATGGCTTTTCTCTATTTGAACCCTCATATTTGCGTTTTGCAGCGTTGAAAATACTCTTTCCAAATTTTTTATAATATCATCAACGTACACATAGCAAATTTTCCCTAAGTATTCTCTCAATATGTCGTCTAACGCTCTTTGAAAAATGTATGGGGATTTTTTCAAACCGAATGGGAGTCTCGTAAATTCATGTTTTCCGCCATTTACCGCGAATGCTGTTTTTTCTATGTCTGTATCTTTCAATGGTGTTTGGTGAAAACCACTCTTAAGATCTAATACCGAAAAATACTTGTTGTCCCCAAGCTGTGAAATAATTTCTCCAATTTCTGGAATGGGATACCGATCTGAGATAGTAACTTCATTAAGTTTCCTATAATCAATTACTAATCTGTACTTTTTTTCTTCGGACTGACCGGATTTTTTCGGAACTAACCAGACTGGTGCATTATATGGTGATCTTGAAGGTCTTCTAATACCATCTCT